TTTTTTTATAAATCAATTCAATAGTTATTGGAAAAATAATCGATAAATTGATAAATTAACGAAAAAAGTGAAAAACACATGACGAAAGAGAAGAGAGAAAAGAGAAATGATAAAAAACGAAGGAAAAATAAAATAAAATAGAATGCTTTTATATCAGGTGGACAATGTACGACTAAAAGCAACGAAAAAGGCGCACAATTTTCAAACTGTGTGTGGCCTCGTCGAATATAACCATCTCTCTCTCTCTCTTTCTCTTTTACTTTCGTACAAGCATACTCCCGCTTTAAATTGCACCGACAAACGGTCAGAGAACGAGTTGTGTTCAGTGAACAGAAAGAAAGAAAGAGAGAAAGAGAGAGGAGGTACGATGAAGAAAAGAATTAAAGTCGCATCAGGCTTGCCGAAGGAAACAGCGATGCGTCTGTACGAAAAAGGCGATACAAAAATAATTGTAAAAGAAGAAAAAGAAATAATGAGATAAGACGATACGTGTGGTCGTTTCAAGTATCTTGAAAATTTTTGGATGTTCTTATATGAGACGAACGAGTATCTCTACGGTTTCTCATCTCCTTTTCGAAAAAAGTACCGTAATTTCAATGACGTTGGCATTCTCTCGTGAATACATTTATTCATGCTCGGATGATCAGCACAATTTGAAGAGACTTGTAAATTCATTTTATGAATAATAATGAAAGTAATTAACAATTTTAGGTATTTCATTTTTATAATGTCTCACTACGAAAAATGACATTTTCCTATGTTTTTATTTTCATTTATTTTACATAGAAGAAAAAGTTGTTAGGCTGTGTCAATGTGTTAATTATCGTTTGTTTAATTTTCCCATTTTGTTTTCCAAAATAAACATGATATAAATGAGAACACGTGATAATTTGTAAACTGTTTATGCTCGAATAATCAGCTAACGGTAATAATACGCGTATATATATGCTCATTTTATAAATAATAATAAAAATAATTAACGATGTCTTTGGAACTTCATTTCAGGAATTTTTAATAATGTGAAAATAATGAAAATAATGAAAATAAATTTAAGGTATATTTTTGTTTTAATTCAATCACAATCATGGAAAACATCCGTTCGACAATGAATATATTAATTATCATACGTTAACCTTTTAATGTATGGTTTATGTATTTAGAAATAATGGAAAGATTATAATATCATAAGTTTTTTACAAAATTTGATAAAAAACTAAATTGTAAAACTACGTACATTTAAGACTTGAACACACTGTCTTCTGATTTTTAAAATTAAACATAAAAAATACCACAAAAAATTCAAGCAAGAATGATCAGAAAAATGTGATTAGATATGTTTTATGTGTATAATTTTCTGAGTAATAAATGAGTTTAATAATTAGTTAAACTTCATTTTAAATTATTCTAATGACAAAAGAATACGTGTTGATATACATTAATCATAATAATTAATAAATTGCAATATCACATACATTAGAGTTTAACAAATATTTACTTTCTTTTTTAAAGAGAAAAGAGAAAAATTATCAACGGAAGATGATTTATATCACAAAAGAACTATTCGAAGGAGAGTCCAATTTACACAGCAGAAGATCGTAACATATGCCCGATAGCGTCCATAAAAGCTTATGAGGAATAAGAAAAATAAAAATACGTTCATCGTTCTAGTCACAGTTGTCGTAAATCAATTGCGTGAGACACGTGCGAGATAGTGAAAAATTTTCGCAGGATCTCGTTACTCCTCCTAGTTCTCACGGTTTTAAAAGCTATGGTAACGCGATATTACTTACTATTTTCGATTCTCTTGAATTTCCATGCTTTCTCGCTTTCTTAAAAGCAAGTTGTAAAGCCGATTAGCATACTTAATTAGGCGCGTTAGCTCGACTAACTCGTCGACTTTTACGACTTTTATGTGAAGCACGTAACGTGCCCTGTCGAACACACGAGCTGGTCCTATACCAACACATACATTCTTATATTATTATATATATATACTTCCTTTACAGTACAAGCTTTCGTACAGCAGCGTAAGTAAAATATAAAGGACATTGAGGATTCGCGAATAAAGAAAAAGCTATGTAACTCGTTTTTCCTGTAAATTTAATCCTTAACGTACCTTTTTCTTAATTGGTCTAACAGATGCTTCCTTTTCTCTATTTTTTTCCGTACTTACTTTTACATATGTATAATGTATATTATATATTATATATACCGAGTGAATCACTTAAAATTATAAGATCAAGACAATTTTATAATACATTAAATTTGTTCTATGGTGATATTAACTGAACAAAAATATTGTTCTGCCGAATAAAATATATTCTTTATTTGGAAATTTGTTTCTATCATAAAAAATAATTAAAATATATTAACGCTTTTATTTTTAGATGATTCAGTTGAATAGATACATTCCTATATAACTAACTGTGTGTGTGTGTGTGTGTGTTTAATAGTTTACAAGCATAATGAAACTTCCGACGAAAGTATGTACAATAAATTAGATTCTACTCACGATAAAACTTGTGACTTGTCAACATTCTCGATACACATATACGGATTTACGTAAATCTTACGTCAATCCTTTTGCATCGGAACGCACGATCTCGCGAAACTTGATTTAATGAATTCTAAAAGAAGATTTTCTCGATTTGATATCGTAAGACGAATTATAAAAAATATCGAGAGAGTAATTTATCTCAAAACGAGTATTTAATTAATTTTTATTGCCGTAATGAAACAACTCTTGGCTTGCTTGATATTATCTAAAAAGAAGATTATTTGAACGGAAATTAAAAAATATGCATTGTTATAGTCATGGAATTAGGTAAGAAAAATTAATATCTATTGTTAGAATTTTATTGTTTTTAAAAATATAATTTAATAAAAAAAAAAGTAATAATTGTTCTCTCTCTCCATAATTAAGCCCAAACCATCGAAATATATCTCGCGTGTTTTAATTTGTTGAAAAATGTAAAAAATATAATTAAATAAAATAATAATTGTTCTTTAAAACACAAAGATCTAAATCATTGGAATGTTTCTCGAATAGTTTAATTTGTTGGCAAATAAAATCTGAAACAATACGAAACAATTATTGTTCTCCAAAATGAAACCTACGCCATTGGGATATTTTTCGAGTGGTCCATATCGGAGTCATGAAATAAAAAGAGAAAAAGAGGAAGAGAAGACAAACTCGTATCTTCCTCTCCCTCTCTCTCTCTCTCTCTCTTTTTTTTTACTCAAAGATTGGAGCACGAGGATGCGAACGTACGAGAGATTAAAACGAAAAACGATGGTTCTCTCTTTCTTTCCTCGTTGAAAGAACACCGCTTTTGCCAAGGAACGATCCTGACTCCCTGCAGGGAATTCAATGGGCACCCTGAGCAAAGCCATTTACCGAGAAAGAAGGTAGAAAAGAGAAGGAGATACTCGGAAGCTGTTTGTGCATCTCTATTTTTCTCTCTTTCTCTTTCTATTTCTCTCTTTATCTTCCTTTCTTTTTTCTCCATCATTACTCTTTCTCGCTTCGTTTATCGCATATGAAAAGAACAGTTCTAAAATTACATTCCGATTTTTCGTGACAGTTTTCCATGTCCCACAATCTTGACGATTTATTGAACCATCAATAATTATATTTATACGGAATATAAATATATACATATTACGTACGTATATATGCTGCCTAAGATAAGGTACATCATGATTTAAGTTAATTAACTTAAAAGCAATAAAAAACGATTATAAAAAGATTACTGCTATAATTTGTGAGAAATATTTCTAAAATTAGACGAAAGGATATAGAAAGAAATAGAGAGAAGAAAAATGATTCGAATGAATTAGTCCAGTGCTCTAAATAGTCGTCGTTAATATTTGAAAACTACTTTACATACTGAGGTATATACTAGGTTTAATATCGACTTGCCTATAAGTAGTAAAGATCGAAGAAAAAATCGGTATCTCAATGTTTCTTTGTTATGATTCTATGTAAGTATAACAAAAATAAAAAGAGAAACTCGTTTCTAAAAATGTGTAGTCAAGTACGACCCTGTCAGGTAAAAACAACTCTATAAACATTTCTCACAATGTAACTCGAGATATATTTGTTTCTTTAAATTGTTCTCACGTGCTTCCTGACAACACCCACATAAAACTTCGGTATACGTCATTTACTCAGTTAGTAACATAAATCGTTGATATAAACTCTTCACCCGGACGATTTACTTCGTTCGAATCGAGCTCAATTCTCCAAACTCGTTAGCTCGGAATCGATTTCGTGATTCTCGATCGACAGAGCGTAAAATTATTCGACCATTCATTCTCAAGATTCTTCGAATCGACGCGACCGTTTCGGTAGTTACGCCGATTAATGATATTTTCTTTTTCTTTTTTTTTTTCTTTCTTTTTTTGTCAAGGTCACGGTTTCATTTACTTCTCGAATTACGGCTAGATGACCATCACCGAAGAGTTCACCAAGAGATCTGATTACCAACCTTGATATACCGTGACGAGGAGAGCAAGAAAATCAAGAAAAAAGGGAAAGTAAAAAACGAAAACGAAAGAAGATAAGTATTTCTTGGATGAAAATAATCCTTTTTAGTAAGGTCAAAGATACTTGAATAACAATTGAGAGGGACCATACTAAGAAAACTAAGAAAATATAACTTTTTAAAAGGATTTGCACATCAATTAGTAGTCAATCATTTTCCATCTAGATCGCATTGTTCGTGTGTTGATTACTTTCTCTATTGAAAAATTTATTTCTATCATCGATAATTACATTCCATTCATATTTCCTATCAACTTATATTTCTTTCAAAAAAAAAAAACAAATATTTTGTACAAGTTTGGCAAAAATTTCCAAAATTAAATATATCAACATAATAATGTGAAATTGTTCAAAAAATCAAAACAATCCAGAGATCGTTATTAAATGCTTGCAAATGTATAACAAAAAAAAATATTAAATATAAAAAAAAAAAAACGAAAAAATAAGTACCAACCTTGAAGATAACCCAAGAAGATGACTCCAACGACGAGGTAGACCTGTCGATGCATCCTTCCCTTTGATCTCTCTCTGACGTTTTAAGAAAAAGGAAAAAAAATAAACGATGACCGAGGAAGCCGATGAAAATTGAAGAGACAGACGTCCTAAGAGAATTGCAACTTGAATAAGAGGATGTGAAGGATGTGGAAGAAGATCCTTCCTTTTTCTTCTTCCTCTTCTTCCTCCTCTTCGTCCTCTTTTCTCTTGAAGAATAAGGACTATGAATCCTGGTTAATCGTATTGATAAAGAAAATCGTTGTGTTGCGTTGTCGTCGTTGTTGTCTTATCACCTTCGATAATGTCAAAGAGAACGAGAGACAAACGAAGCAAGAAAGATAGAAAGAGAGAGAGACGGTGACAGAGAAACAAACAGATAAAGAGTCAAAAACGGAAAGTTGTAAATGGATAAAAAAGAGATCAAAATAGAGAAGAAGCACCAGTCAGGAAGGAAAAGGAGGAAATGTCCTCTTCGACCTCTATCGTCCTTCGAGGTCCACGAACGACTGAAGCGCACGAAGCGACGTCGGTCCGGCTATAGCCTCCCCTTCCTACTTTCACGTGGCGTGCTCCCGTTTCCAACTGGAGGCACGGAGCCTCTCCATGGGCCATTTACCATCGTTGTCGACGATGCCCCAAACGAAGAAAGAAAATAAGAGAGAGAGAGAGAGAGAGCTACTGTTGTGTCCAAGATGGAAAGGAGGTGGTAACCTCTCTGGAGATCCTTCGTGAACGCATCGGAGAACGCTTTGGCACGTTTCTAGGCCAGTCTCTCTTTCTCTCTCTCTCTTTCTTTCTTTTTTTCACTTCTTCACCATCGAACAAGACATTTTATTTTTTTCGTTATCCTCTCTTCTTACTCTTCTTCTTCTTCATCTTCTTCTTCTTCCTCTTTTTTCGAGACAAAAATGGCCAACATCTCTCCATCTCACTCTTTATCCTTCTTCTTTAAAGGGTCACGTTTCCATTTCTCGACGGACCAATGTATAATTCTTACCTTTCGGGAGGAGGTCAAAGAACGATGTCCTGACACCGATCGTGACCGATAACGAGGACTTATGCTTCCTTTTCCGAAGATGACTCTATTTCCTTTTACATTTATTCACAGTTTTCCTTATTTCAGTGTTATCGAACGATCGCGTACTGATCTATGAACTGTTCTCCTTTTGGTAAGTATGGTACGTATGTTAGTAGATCAACGATTACGTTAGTAATCAACGATTACTCGCTCCGTTTTCATTCAAGTATGTACGTTTATAAAGGATTATTGCTGAACGGTACATCGCTCGTTTCGGTCTATGCTTTTCTTTCAAAACTGCCGATATTTGTCAAACCTTTCGACCTCGATAAAGCATCCGTACTTCTCTCTCTCTCTTTTGGTTTCTCTCCTAATACGTAGGCCACTTCTATTGTAGAACATCGTTCATCAATATATATACTTCAAAGATTTTTTTTAATATCTCAAATATGTATATGTTTTGTCAATATTTAAATTTTTGTCAAAGAATAATACTTAAATATAATCATTATATCGTAATCGTAACGTTTTAATTAATTTTCATTATTTATAATCATTATTTATTTATTCAATTGCATCTGTAATGATGAATCCAATATGTCGTTCAACCACAGTAAATATAAACTTTATATATGTTTTAAGTAAGATAAATTACCGATCGCGAAGTCTCTCTCTTGTGGCACATTAAAATAATTGATTTATTTTGTATAAACTTTTTGAAAATGAAATATTATACTTAACCGTTAGTTATTTGAATAATTTATATAATTGATTTGATAAATGATACTATCGTTATCAAACACGTACATTTCAGCAAAAAATTTCATTCAGCAAATATTCATTCTATTTATAGTACCATAGATTAATGACAAGAAAAAGGAATTCAAATGAAATCTTTCCAAGAGAAGAAAATACTTTCCGTGTTCGATGTACTATACGAACGATCGCGTTGCTCGATATTTTGGTATTCAAAGTGAATAACATGAAGGATCGACGGAATGATTTTAGAGTATTTCTAGATAGACCCATACGTCTTAGCTAACGGTATGCCTTACGGTCGGATAGAAACGCGTTTTCCTTCGAAAAATCTTCAGGGAAATAAAAAATCTACGATTAAAGGCACGTCTTGCGAGGGTTAAGCAACATAATCGTTAAACAATCAAAGATAATAAATGATTTTACCGGTTTAAATACTTACATGCAAACATATAACCATCCAATCATCGAAAGATCACGCGTATTACACATTTATGTTTGGTATATAAGTATCTATGTAGTATCTACGTACGATCGCCTACAATTAGACGAGATGTACTTTCTAAGCGTACGATCGAGAGAAACGAGGAATTCGTTTCTTAACGACGGCGATATTAGTCTCCTTTCCTACTTTTACACTCCGAGCAATCATATTTATTTATCTTTTTCTTTATCCAGCGTATAAGAATCGATGCGAATTCATGAAAAATTGATGTGTCATAGTTATCGATTATAGTAACACGTTTGTTTGCCTTCGTTGAAAGATCTATTCCCAATACTTTTCATTTAGCAGTTTTTACATCAACCCATGTTACACCTATAAATATTTAATATTTGTGTAATGTAATTAATAAGATAGTTATAGAGTAATTAGAAAGAAAAATATGTAAAAGTGAATTTTCTTATATCTTCATTTATATGTATAATTGTTATCATTATGGAAAACATTTAATTAAGATAATTCTAGTCAGATCAAACGATTGGATGTTCTTTACTTTTTGACTCGAGAAAATATGAGATACATAAAAGAGATACTCATAATACATTTGCACGAGTTAGCTCATAGAACGTATTAATCGCAATCACACCAATATATTTATCACCACGCTCGAAGCCTTTTACTACCGTCGACTTTCTCGCAAAACATTAGTATTATCTTAAAGGTAGGCGATCTCCATTAACATGAACTTTCTTAGATTCAACGAAATCGTTCTCGGTGCTCCCGTTTTCCGATCATTTTCGAAAGGGAGCGAACAGTTGTTACACGTAAGGAGAAAGAGAAAAAAAAGAAAAAAGAAAAATATGATAACATAGTCCAGTTGATCTGGTTGTTGTCAAAAAAAAAATAAAAAAGAGAAGAAAAAACAGGTGCAGCAACGTTCAGAAGCTCAGAGCAGCGACGTACCTCATATAACAACGATCGTTGCTTCTTCGAGGACCCCGGAGGGAATTGTTCATCAACATCAATCACGCCATACCTAATACTTCAGACGTAACCGTCGAGACGTATCTGGCCAACCGCAAAATATGTACACCCGATTTGCCAGTATATATTTGTCTTTTTCTTTCTCCCTCTTCTTTTTCTCTCTGCTCAATCGCCATTAACCCACTTGTGGCCTTTAGCGCGTTACCACGCATGATGACCCATTCATTTGGTTAATCGACGAGATAAGTATTCCAAATAATTATTTTTAATTATTAAAATTTGTAAAGAAGAAATGTCTTATGGAATTGTTTATTGATACTTTTTTAAATGTATTTATCTAAGGAATAATTTTGTTAATTATTATTATTGTTTAATTGTTTTTACTTTAACATTCTTTGATAATAAGATTACGAAAGTCCATTTATTGTAAACGGGGAACACTCCGAATACTTGTGATAATAAAAATTTATTTGTGAATATCATATTTACATTATGTGTAAAAAAATAAGGATGAACGTCAATATAATGGGAAATGTCACATTCCGTGACTCACCCTGTATATTTGTTTTGTAATGTATTTTGTTCCATTTCGTTGATCAGCTTTTTAATCCTGCCATAAATTTGAATCTTACAATTAGTATTAATTTAATTTTATAAAATATTAAAGTTTTCTCTGTATTTTTCAAGAATTAATTTGTCGATACTTCAAATTATAATCCATTATCATGAATAAAACATAATCATCAATAGTGATCGATCAATCGAATGACAATCGTTTATTAGAAATCAAAAGTTCGTTGAAAAGATTAAGTAGGAAAGTTAATTTCAACGTAGTCGTGTTCGCAAAAAGTGGGTTTGATTAAAATTTATGCACTATGTATGCGTCGAAAGAAGATCATCAGGTCTCTTACAAATATGCAACGGTAGGAAAGCTCATTCCTTTCGACGGCCGATGCATTATCGCCTCCAGGAGGAAAGTACCCTACTTACAAATGATTACGATAATGATAAGTTGAGACTGAATCAGCAACCGAAAGAAAAGGTACTCGAATCAATTACCGTGTAATGTCGTTAGAATTGTAAGCTCCTTGTAAGTCCTAATATTGATCTTTGTAGATCTAAGATTTTCATATACTTTCTCTCGATGATCTGTAAATAACAAAAACTTGTTTTTTTCTTTTATTTCTTATTCGTGAAACTGATGTCAGTGATGATATGAATATCATTAAAAATTACTTACTAAATCGAACAAATGTTTTACGTATATATTCTATTATTTTTTGTCACAATAAAACTTACAATTAGATCACATTATTTAAGAAATTGGAAAGCAAAAACATCCTATCAAGGATACATGCATCAGTAATAAGACGGGAACTATACATGTGGGAAAGAAGACATCAATTTCAGCAATACTGTAATTCATAGTAATAAAATATTGTTGTTGAAATATCTTTTTGTTTTATCTTAAATCTGTGCTGAATTACTGTGTAATTTAGAAATACTGTGTAGATATTTATACGTATTATTATAAAATATTATTAAATATTATCTCATATATATAAATATATTACTATATTAAATTATATTATAATAAATATATGTATGTTCGATCAAAACAAATTTTTATAATAAACAAAAATATTTCGTTTCTCGAGGATTTGCATTTTTGATTAAAATATTTTTTCTTTATAATAGAAAAAGTCTGGTAGTATCAGACTGATACCTATGAACGTATAATTAATTAATAATTTTGTTTTTGTGCGAGGTTGAATAAATAGCACGAAGAAAGTCAATGAACATTATAACGCGATGTATCCTGGTGACCGTCACGTTAGGCGGTATAATAAAAATATCTTTTAACCGGATTGAATTTGAATGGTTTCATTATCTTCCTTAATAAGTGTCTCCCTCTTACGTTTTTAGCCTTTCTTGCGTTGGCCTTTCTTACGCATTGCATGAGCCGACCTAGCTATAATAAGTATAAATCTTTTGTTCGCAACCCAATTTTGCGGTCAACCATGAGATCGGTCCTCTTCCTTAGTAATTTTCAACCACGTCACAAATTCACATTCTCAATCACAAAATTAACTTAATATGTTTATATGTCATAGTTTCGTACACATTAAATGTAATAAAAATCATTGATAAGTAGTACTAGTATGTTAACAAACTTTAATACGAATTTTTTCATACTCTTTTGTAATATTTGAAAGATTAATAGTATAATATGTTTTTCTAGTGTAAGCACAGTATAATTTTAAAAGCATTACAAAGATTAACGTATATTTTATCTCGAAAACAAAAGTAATAATTATAAAAGTTATTATGTATGATCATTTTAAACAGTAACACTGCGATACCCCAATCTTAATTTTGTATCTGATTTAAAATT